ATTCGGACGCAGAAGGGTGAACGACTAACCTGGATGAATGCTTGATTCACGTGGTATCGTATGATGTGAAATGTTGTGATGTGCCATGATCTCATGTACGTTTATGTCATTAACCATTTCCTTGCCATCCAATAACTACATTTCTAAGCAGGTTACTAGCTTGTTTAAATGCTATAGGCAAATTACTGAAGAGTCAGTAATAAATGTAGTGAGGGATGAAGTTATAAAAATAGAATTAGAGAGAATACATATGTTGATGAATCGTAATAATGTGTTGTCCTAGGCCAAGTGATGTCACACTGTTATAAGTTTGTATGCTTAACAAACCTTGAATCAACTGTAGATAAGTCTGAAACGAGTTCCTGATCCGTGACTGTCGAAGGATGTCCAAGAAGGATGTGGCGTGTTTCTGGATCGTACTGATCCTGTGCCAAGAGCTACGGACCGACCCGATCGCAGAGATGGGACCATCCTCTGGCATCCTGATTCAAGAGACACCAGGGTTCATCTTGACAGAGAAGAGGATCCTGACCCGACGTGTGTTCGTCAGCTTGGACCCCAAGATTTCCATCGAGAAGGCATACAACATTTCATCGATGCAGCTTCCTGAGTTACAGACTTGGTACCAGATGCATCTCCAAAGAGCACAGGACCGTGTGCGAAACATCTTGGAGCAAGCCCGGAAACCATTTGTATCCAGTTCTATTCCGATGAGCAACCGACCCAAAAGGTTCCTCACCGCTATAATTGTTGCATTAGTTTGTAGTTGTCGCAACTGGAATGTCTGCAGCCAACTCTATTACTGTCCAAAAGCTGGATATGGAAATCTATGCGCTAAAGCAACACATTAACGATATTCATCAGGTGATAAACCAGCAAAGAACACTTCTCCAAGACGTGTTAACTATTGTGGAAGACACACAGTTGTTACAACAAATTTGCATTCAGAGTTAATTGCCAAATCCACTGAGTTGCACCAAAGTCATGACTTATTTAAGCGTGAACTTCTATTTCTGCATGACCCAATATTGTTCCACACACTTGCTTTTCTTGACGAAGTGCAAACTGGAATGATCGAATTGGCAGGGGGACGTATACCTCTGTATTTTGTATCCAAGGATATTGTTCATGCGATGCTTGCCAATGTGGATGGAGAAACAATTGAGCTTATGCAATTAAATCTGTCCTTTGAGATGGGGAGCGCTATACCTCTCTTAATTCATCCGGAACGTATGGAGATTTGCTTTTTATTGACCATACCATATGTAACTCCCAAAGACATTTTTCAAATGAAAACAATGTACTATGTAATAATGATATTATGGTTGATTGTACTAAGTGTAAAGTTCAAAACTCTTACAGGTACAAATATATACAAAAATGTTCATTCCATGCACGGGCCTATGTTAGAAATGATGTGATTGCACAATATGTCTGGTAACTTCTATAGTGCTTATTCATAAGCTAAATTAATTTTGGCTATGAAATGCACTAAAGGGGGGTTATGTCAGAGTATTTATATCGGCAGACATCTTGTGCTATGATAGAAACTAAAAGTGTATATTCTAAGTCACTCTGAACAGACCAGACTCCATTTTGTTATTCCAAGTTAACAAAAAAAAAAAAAGACACAAGATTTCTTTCTGTAAGACTAGCCACTTTGTCAGAGCTAAAATGCATAGCATAGTATAAACAAGTGATAAGAAAGGGGGTTGGACAGACTGTCTAATGCTATTGGAATATAATCAAATCTAAACCCAGACAATTGTGACAGAGAAGATTAAATAATTTAATTTTACTGTCTATATATATATAAGGTACCATTGTATGGAAAAGGGTAAACTTAGTTCATGATCTGTGATATCAGAAATTATGGCAGGAATTGCAGACGCTAAGTCTGGACAAAATTTAAGAAACCCTTTGAAATTTTAAATTATGGCACTATAAAGATAAGCAAAATGACGTCAAAATAGCCACCAGGAAAAGTTAACTCTTTCTGGATAGGTATGTTTAGTGGGACAAGACTGCCCTCTATAGACCAAATACCTAAATTGCGATCTGGAAGATAACCACACCTCTAGTGCTTCTATTGGGTTATCAACTGGTGACGTACAGAGAGTCTGGCCCTTTAAAAGTTAGGACAAAGGGAAGATTGAGATAGGCAAGATGCAAGAGATACAAGGGAGGCAAGAGATACAAGGGAGGCAGGAGATGCAAAGGAGAGGAGAGAGGAATTGGAAGTTTGGGGATTCCAACTCGGACAACATCTGAGACTAACACTCTACTCCTAAAACTCTAACACTTAGAATTTACTGACTTTCTAACCAACACCTCCATGCAGAGAGAGACATCCAAATAAGTTCCTGAGACTACCAATCGGATAAAATATCTACTCAACTGGTAATTATACTGGCTTCATTTAATTAAATTAAATTAATTAAAATGTATTAATAGCATTATATATGACTGGATAAAGCACGGTCAGATTTCCATATTAAGAAATCTTAGTTAACTAAAGAATATATAGTTATAAACATTCCATTCTGCAGGTGGAATTAAGAATAATTATATATTTGTGGCGAAACCAACCTCGCCACTGTGCACTGGAGAAGCCTGGTTGCCAGCCTCCTGCCATCTGACTATGGCCCCCTTTTAAAAGACTTTATTTTTGCCTGCAGAAAAGCTGTATTCGTGCTTTTCTGCCTGGGGTTTGGTAGATGTGTTTGAATGTGTTATACCCCAGATAGGAATCCCATGGAGCCCATTTGTATGAAACTGACTGTAAAGACTTTGGCTCCATGGCGATTACACTGTATTCGTGTGGTCTGAGCGCCATTCACTTAATAATGTGCGCTCAGACCTGAGCTATCTGGGGATATGTGAAATGTCTGTGTTTTATGTATAAAGGTGACTTTATGTATTTTAAAGTGTTTTGTGTCTTTTGCAACCATGTGCTTAATGGAGTCTTGTGTCTGTCCTGGGAGATAATTGAATTACTTATCTCCAGGATAGAAGACTCTGAAACTGGTTTGGGCCAGAAAGCCATGCTTCATTTAGTCACAAAGGACTTTTTACTAACTTTTGAACCCCTTGTCTGATTTGTGCCATTTTTGAATATGTTGTTCCCCTGAATGGATTGATTGTGCATATGTAATTTTATGTGAATGTGATGTATGGTTTTAGAGTTATGAAAGTTGGGTAGAAAGTATGTTTTAACTGTATGTATAATTGAGTTTCCTCTCAGGATAAGGGGAGGGAATATGTGGGATGTAACTGTGATGTGATTGGTTGTTTTATACCTCCCTGTGGGCGGTCCTGTATTTGCAACACTGTAATAAAAACCAGGCTGGGTGTGCCAGCACCTGAGATTCTGCTTAACCCTCAAAACGAAGTGTCGTCTCGTTATTGGGGGAATTGGATTGTGTGCTGACTGCCAGGAGTGTAAGCCGTTTGTATTGCTTTTCCTGTTCGGCTGCTTCCATGGTTCCTGTGTCTGCTGTTCGAGAGTTGGTGAATACGTGCAGTTTGGAGTTCAGGAGGTTGGTGATTGCAGTAGCTGCTGGTCTATGGGAAAGGGGATTATCGCCTAAACCGATTTTATCCCCTTGTGAGAGAAACGGTCCGTTACAATATTGATGTGATATTATCACGTGTTAGCATACCGTTGTTTTTATCCAGGTGTATTGATTTGCTCTAAATTAAGATAAGATATCTTTTAGACAAATTAAAATCTGCTTATAAAATATGGTAGATTCTCTTATTGGATGGTTCCAGGAAATGATTAATGAACAGGTTTAAATGTTATTTTATTTAAAAATTACATAAGAATAGATCTTGATTACCTAGGAGATCTAGCCAGCATTGAAAGGGTTATTCTAACTGTCGGCTAAACTTTACGACCTTATGCTGCACTCTGAGGAATTCTGTTCTCTGTGTGAAAAGTTTCACTTTCAATCTGTGTTAAGGATACCTCATAAATCGTCAGAATTCTTGACAGGGAATGCTATTTAGCCATTGAAATCTGTATAGCCATTCCTTTGTATTGCATACCATTTTATACTGGATATTTATTGATTATTGTCACGCATGTTACATATTATTATTATTATAAATAAAATCTATTTTTATACATTGTGATATTATTATATGAAATACATTCCACTTAACACGATAAACGTTCTTTGGGATCTGAGAATTTAATTAGTGGGCAATTCTCACTGTTACTATTATTATCCCATAAATATCCCCACAAAACTTCATGCTAGGGACCTTAAGCTTGATGTTGCGAGATGACAACCAAACCCGGTCCCCCACTTGGTACACCGGGTTGGCACTCCTACGCTTATCAGCAAAATGTTTGAAGCGTTCAGCAGCAGCCCCTAGAGCAGTTTGAACCTTAACCCAGGTATCTCGAATGGAGGCCAGACGCTCATCCAGAGCAGGAATGGCAGTATCAGAAAATACCGCAGGGAGAACCGTAGGATACCTACCATTATTGACAAAAAATGGACTGTGCCCAGAGGAGTCATGAACAGCATTGTTTCTAGCGAACTCGGCCCACGGGAGTAGTTCGGACCAATTGTCTTGTGTGCTATTAATAAAACAACGCAAATAAACTTCTAATGACTGGTTAGCCCTCTCAGCTGTACCATTGCTCTGTGGATGGTAGGAGGAGGAGAAGGAGATTATCAATCCCCAGTTGTTTACTGAACGCCCTCCAGAACCTGGACACAAACTGAGAGCCCCTATCAGACACTATATTGTGGGGGATGCCATGCAAACGGACAATTTCACGTATGAAAATTAGGACCAAATCTTGTGAAGATGGCAACTTCTTGAGAGGAATGAAGTGAGCCATCTTAGAAAATCGGTCTACAACCATGAGAATAGTAGTGAACCCAGCAGAGCTAGGAAGCTCAACAATAAAGTCCATGGATAGGTGGGACCATGGAATCTCAGGAACAGGAAGAGGCTGCAACAGGCCACAAGGAAGTGCATGAGTCACCTTAGAAACTGCACACACAGAACATGCCTGCACATACTCCTTTACATCTTTCCTGTGTGAATCCCACCAAAATGATCTAGTGATCGCGGCAGTGGACTTATTGATGCCCGGGTGTCCAGCAGTTATATTGTCATGGAACAGGAGATGTCATCTGTTCCGGAGCTGACTCATTATCAAATTGCCTGGACAAGGCATCAGCCTTGGTATTTTTAGAACCAGGTCTATAAGTAATGAGAAAGTTAAAACGTGAAAGGAACAGTGACCATCTAGCCTTTCTGGAAGACAAACGTTTGGCATCCCCTATATATGCCAGATTTTTGTGGTCGGTTATGATCAACAGGGGGTCCTTGGAACCCTCCAAAAGATGTCGCCACTCCTTGAGGGCAAGAATAATGGCCAACAGTTCTCTATTGCCAATATCATAGTTGTGCTCAGCAGGAGACATCTTTCTGGAGAAGTAGCCACAAGGATGCAATGGTGTTCCCTGGCTTTCTCTCTGAGAGAGAACAGCCCCTACCCCTGTCTCGGATGCATCAACCTCCAATATAAAAGGTTTACTGGTGTCAGGATGTTTTAGTATGTCCGCAGAGGCAAATCTTTGTTTAAGAGTCTCAAAAGCATTCACAGCCTCTTTGGACCATACCGTGCTACTAACCCCTTTGCGAGTCATATTTGTGATTGAGGCTATTACAGAAGAAAATCCCTTGATGAATCTTCTGTAATAGTTGGCAAAACCAATAAACCTTTGAATGGCTTTTAAACCAGAGGGTAATGGCCAGTGTAGTACAGCCTCTAGTTTTTTAGGATCCATTTGAAATCCCGATGCAGAGATGTTGTAACCCAAAA